AATGGTAAGCGAAAACATTTAGCCACCAACTCCACCGCCTTCTTGTAGTGTATGTGTGTTTGCGTGTATCTATAGGTATGTGTATGTATGTGTATGTAATTATGTATGTTGGTGAGTCTTTAAAAAAGGGGAAGGGAAAAGAGAGAGAGAGGGGGGGGGAGGGAGAGGAGAAAGAGAGAGGAGAGAGAGGGGAGAGAGAGGAGAGAGAGAGAGGAGAGAGAAAGAGTATGTGTGTGCAAGTGCGTGTACATTGGAGAGGAGCGAGGAAAATGGGAGAGGAATCGAGGGAAAGAGGGGCATGGGGAAGAAGGACATGAAAAGAAGAGGTGAGAGGGGGAGGGAGAGAGAGAGAAGAGAGAGAGAGAGAGAGAGAGAGAGAGAGAGAGAGAGAGAGAGACAGACAGACAGACAGACAGACAGACAGACAGACAGACAGACAGACAGACAGACAGACAGACAGACAGACAGACAGACAGAAAGAAAGAAAGAAAGAAAGAAAGAAAGAAAGAAAGAAAGAAAGAAAGAAAGAAAGAAAGAAAGAAAGAAAGAAAGAAAGAAAGAAAGAAAGAAAGGCCGGGGGTATATCCGAGTCTGTCTCAAAAGAACACATAGATTTCAAAACACTGTCTGCCTCTTCGAATACCAACGTAACTCGACCTGTGCTGCGCATACTTAACTATACATTTGATCTCCCATGATGACTGTAGCATTTTTATTGAATTATGTATAGAATATTTGTCATTCTAAAGCTAAAAATTATCATCTGCATTGTCGCAAAACTGTCAGACCAGCACGTGGATCAGCTGAATGAAACAATTTAAGACAATGGGAAAACATTAATAGTTTTAAAGGCCCATCTAAAAACAAAAGTTGCCTTCGGGTTGTACGTGTTGAAAATGTGACGGTGCAAGGAATTTGAAAGCGCGGCGTGATTGTTCTGTTTAAATACCTTAAGCCTTGCCCTAATTGTCTTTGTTTTCATGAATAGAATCTTCGGTTTCTCAGGGGATATATTGTGTTCACGTCAAAGGACCTTGTCTTTTTTTCCTTGAAGAATTTGGAAACATCACAATACCTTGGTACTAAATTACCAGTATCGTAATCTTCCTTACGAGGCACGTGAATGGGAAAATGAAGGTTTCAATGTGTCATCGCTGTACGGAAACGCAAGAACGTGACAAGCGAATGAAACATCAATGAATCGTGAGTAGACATGTTGATCGGTGAAGAGTTCTTTTGTTTAAGACTAGAACAGCTGTGGAATGCTCTAGATTTACTCTAATCTCTGTACTAAACCTGCTATTGGCAACGTTTTTGAAAGTCGGATCCGTTGAATTAGTCTTCGATCTCTCTCAAATTCACTTGACACCGAATCCCCGCTCTGTCCTCCTTTACGAGAGATTGCACTTATAAAACGGAGTAATGCAAAAGTATTTCATTGAACAAAGCAGAAAACAAAAGGCAACACTCAGCATGAAACCAGATACGGCTCTTGTCGGCAACATTTTAAAGAAGAGATTAAGAAGCCCCTTCTCGCGTTCCGTTTCAGTGTAATTATTTAAATCTTTAAAGAGAAATGTCCGATCGCCGTTTTGATTGCAATCCTTACAAACATCCATTATCAGCACAGCCCTCTATAAAACAGGGAAATGTTTCAGATTTTGACGTGTCGGGTACTTGAGTTCCCCTTCGACAACTTGAGCTTAGCTCGTGGCAATATCAGGTCTCTAAGAGTCGTCGTGCTGCTGGAGAAATGCGAGTCCTTTCATTGATTCCTAGATAAAGCCTGTGAAAATCTTTGACCCGGAGTGAAACAGTACTGTTGATCAAAAGATTCAAGGTCCACAGATTAAAGGAATCTCAACAAGCAGCTACGCCTGAAAAGACAAAAGTAATCCGCCTGTTCTCAGCTTCTATGAGTTAAGCGAAATCGATGTTCCTAGAGAGTTGGAACTAATGAAGAACAATGTCTACTAAAGACGTCACTATCAATTTGTTGCAGGGAAATACTGGAGAAATTTAGCGCAAGATTGAATGGCAGGAAGAAGACGTCAGGACAACAAATGAAAATTTAAGAAAAAAGAGAAGGCATATTATTTACATCAGTTTTTACCAACTTGCTTTGAGAACAATTGTGTTTACACGTGTATTTGGAAGTATCAGTGTACCAGGTATTAGTATTACTTTTCATTGCAAATTCAGATCTCCGTCGCAGATGTCGATACATTGCAAATCTCCAACTGGTATTGCTTTGATCCTGCCCGTTGCTTTCTCCCTGAACTGTTCTCATGGCTCCTTGATAATTCAAGCCGTGTTTTTTGTTCTTTGCTTTCTTCCCTTCCCTTTATGGTAGCTTGTAACTCTTTAATTGTTATGCTGCGTATAGTTTTGACGCAGCAATTGCGTTAAATTCGTTGTGTCAATAAATTGGTTTTTAAGATGATGAACCTCTTCCTTCAGTTACAAAAAGACATATTACGAAAGATAATTATGACAAAATGACTGGTACACAGAATACACCTGGAGAGGCAGAGAGAGAGGGGTGACAGACAGACAGACAGACAGACAGACAGACAGACAGACAGACAGACAGACAGACAGATAGATAGATATACAGACACACGGGGAGGGAGGGAGGGGTGGATGGAAGGAGGTAGAGGGAGACTGGGGAAAGGAGAGGGAGGTCGGACAGACACAGAAACGCATAGCTTGGTATACAGTCGGACAAAAAAAACCCAGACATAACCAGACTGACAGACCAACTGACAGATTCACTGACTCTCTGAATGGCCTAGCACAATGTGACAATTAACTACTCAAGATTGAAAAAACAAATTTAGGATATTGACGTAGAATAACAGAAGGCGCAAGTAAGAATAAGATAATATAGTTCACAACCTCCTTTAAAGAAAACAGGATCCTTCGTCACAGGACACAATTTTGTTTTCATATACATGTAATTGCAAATTGTTGGTTTTTATGTGTTATGAGGGGTTTGTCGTGGGAGCTTATTCTGTATCAACCAAGAACAATGCCTGTTGATAAAGTAGGGAAGTAACTTGCTAAGGGGAGACGGTTTACGCCCTTGCTTGTCAGCTAGTCTGATATAAGATGCTACATCGTATTACGTTGGATGAGGTTCGCGGGTCAAGGGCTATCAGACAGACGCCGATGAATAAAAGTGCAGTATTGGCCTGAGGGACTCTAGGTCATATCGTTCAAGTCTGAGGTGTTGTAAGCACGGAAGTGCATCCGTGATGAGGTTGTACAAGGTTAAAGTAAAGAAAAAGGGCGCAGAGCCATTGCTATAATTTAGAGGCACAGTAAAGAAATACAAAAATTAGTACAGACGTATAGTATGGTATAATATAGCATGGTGTTAACACCAAGCTCCCCCCTTCTCTCCCTCTCTCTCTCTCTCTCTCTATATATATATATATATATATATATAGAGAGAGAGAGAGAGAGAGAGAGAGAGAGAGAGAGATATATATATATATATATATATATATCTTTCTCTCTTTCTTTCTCTCTCGTTCTCTCTCTGCCTCTTTCGCTTCCTCTCTCTCTGTCTCTCTGTCTCTTTGTCTCTCTCTCTCTCTCTCTCTCTCTCTCTCTCTCTCTCACACACACACACACACACACACACACACACACACACACACACACACACACACACACACACACACTTTGCCTCTCAAAACTGTAAAGCTATTTACAAGGCTGTAAGCTGACCTCTCAATGTATTATCTATAGATGAGGGAGGCAAGCCTAATGTATTAAGAATCAGGAGTACTTGAGTTCAAGAACACCTCGTATAGGATTCGAACACGGGCCATGCGCCTCGCAAATGAGCGTTACATCTACTGAACTAACGGTGCGCTCAATATCCAAACAATTTGACAACTTTAGGAGGTGTGAATAGCTGACCAAGTTTCTCAAACTATTGCCTTTGCCCATTGCCTTCATAAAGTTTTGTTTCCGGTCATTTGTGGTATGCGCACATGAGTAAGTCACTTGATCTGTAAGTGATCCTACCATTTCTCATGTGTTTCGGTTTTTTATCCAAAAAATGGAAATACGATACTGGTTATAATATTATAAGTAACACCTTATATCTTCAAGGATCCAAGTCCTCAGATTCAATAGCAATTCCTAACACAAAAGAGATATTGTTTTTAAGATTACATTGATTTCCTAAGTACTCGTAGTACCATTCATGGAGTTTTTAAAAATGTTTTGCTAAACTAAAAGTGAGTTTGTATTATAGTTAGGCGATGTAAAAGGTCGCTGCATGTTCGCTGGAGGGGATGATGCGGGATCATTTCAGCAAAATTCCCACTTGTTTTAGACTTTGGAAGAGTGTGCACTAATAATGCCGTAACTTTGTTAATGAAGATCAAGTACAAAAGTCTACAAAACTCTCGAAGTTTATTGTTCGAAGCACTAGCTTGTGTCCTGTTCAAATTGTTGCTCGAACAAGAGCTGTGTGTTTTTAAAAATGTTAAAATGTCTTTATTCATTTATCTGAATTTTGTAAAAGTGCCTTTCTAAACTCAGCTGTACACGCACCTGCCGAAAAAACCATTGCTCGTCTCTCTCTCTCTCTCTCTCTCTCTCTCTCTCTCTCTCTCTCTCTCTCTCTCTCTCTCTCTCTCTCTCTCTCTCTCTCTCTCTCTCTCTCTCTCTTTCTCTCTCTCTCTCTCTCTTTTTTTGGGGGGGGGGTTGTTTGGAGTTGTTGTTTTTTTGTGGTTTTTTTGCTTTTTGTTTTTGTTTTATTTTTAACATATGACATCCATGTTGATCATACAATTAAAACATGAGACCAGTTGCTTGGAAACGAAAAGTAAACAGAGGGTCTGGTGTTTCAGGCAACTATAGACTTTTAAAAGTAGTAATCACCTATCCGTGGCTCAGAGCCCTTTTTTTTATTAAGATCATTTTATGTGCCGAAACATTTAAGAAATGTATTGCGTGAAAAGGAAGAAAACGATTCCTACCTTGCTGAACAAATCGCCCGTGGATGCTTTCTACAAAAGCTTGCTGTACACTTCGGCCGACAAAACTCCACAAAAGCTGCGTCCGACTGATGCTGTCGCGCCTGTTTCTTGGACACTGATAGGAAAAATGAAGAAATATTAGAGGTACACATGATTAGTGGGAGGTAACGGGCTGTCAGATACGAAGAAAAGACTTGGAAACAGCAATGATGCAAAATGACTCGAAAAGACGATGGAAGGACGAGAATACGTTTGTTTGACGACAGTAAGATGGCTTACATTCATATTTGCAGGACTTCGGCCGCTGAAGTACGATCGACTATGAACTGGTGAAGTGGTGAAAGGAGAAAAATTAGGGATACACCTAATTGATGGGACATGGGGGGGGGGGGCATGGGATCCGAAGAAACGACTTGGACTCAAAGTTTTAAAAAAGACTATTGAAGGACGAGAGTACGTTTGTTTGACGACAGTAAGAAGACAAATGGCTTACATTCATATTTCCAGGACTGTGGCCGCTGAAGTACTATCGACTTTGATTTGGTAGAAGGCAGAAGGGGGGGGGGTAGAAAGGAGAGAGATTAGAAAGGGGGGGAGTGGGAGGGCGAAGTACAAGCTGATGTATAAAATAATATGTTAATTATAACGTCGAATATATTTTTTTCGAGTTTCCTGCTTATTCGTTGAAAATAAATTATATTATACATGAATTAATAACTGCTTACGTCTATTGTTGGTTTCGTTTTACTACTTTGGTTTTTGTAAAGCCTTGAAAATGTGTCGTTGCTGGTGCTTGATTCTTTACAAACTTTAAAATGTGTACCATCAATTATTTTCGTAATGGGATCAGATATCACTTCGGCCTTAAATTTCTCCCCTGTCTTCCCTTTGTCCAGAGAGTTACCTACATTCCATCACCTTATACACCACGTTCCCTTTACTTGAATACCACAATAGTACTCAAGTTTATCTATGTAAAAAAGGCCTGAAACGTCAATTCAAACTGGTATTTAGTCTGCAGGCTTACTCTTAGTACCAGAATGTTAACTACTCAAAAAACATGTTTATATAAGTCTTTACTTATTTTGGCAACCTTTAATATTTGTTGCCTGCCAACATAATCTAGTTTTAATAGCCCACCCGTCTTATTGCACTAAACTGTTTTATAATTATCCTGATGCCATTTCGACTGGTCCTAGAGGAGACTAACGTCTAGTCCACAGCATTAGCTCTGGGTATGATAGTACTTTACAAATATAAATTTACACTATGGACTTTTTAAGAACAAAGAGATGCTATATTGCAATGCGTATGATCGGCAAGAGTTGGTCAGCTCTGCAATATCGGCATCTAACAACTGTTTATCTTATCCGCTAGACTTTGTTGGTTGCCACTTTTGCGTCAGCCCAGGCCACTTAAAAATGCAATGCTTTTCCTTATCTTTACTTTTTGTACCAATGCTACTGTGAGTTCGAAAGATTGTCTCACTTAAATCGACAGGTACATAAAGGTTCAAGACAAGCACCAGAGTTAGACGTTCCGATTCAAAAGTGCGTATCAGATATCTCATGGGCCACTCCTTGAGAGTGTACTGCGAGATGTCTCCAGTACGGAACTGGGCTCTGTACTTTCAAGAACTGTTGACCCACCCACTTCAGCGAAACCATGGTCCCAGTGTGCGTAATTACTAGCGTGTCCGAAAAGATCTGAGTAAAGAGTCTTGGAGGCGTCGCTGACGAGAGAGATCACGGATTTACAAGCCACATAGACGGAAAAGTTTCACCTTTCAGGGGCTTTTCCGTCGCACTATGACAGGCGTTGAAGCGCAAGCACTTGGCCCGTTTACTTAGAATAATCTCACTCGCCTTCAAGTGCCTACAAAACACAAACTTAATGATCAGAATGTTTGGGCATTACATTTTACTGTACCAATTTAGCGCCAGCACTATCCATGTGAAAAGTATGGGGGTATGGAGGTTTAATCGTCAGGACAAGTTGCCCTTTTGTAACCAGGTTCGCGGAGAGTTGGACGTTTTCGAGAGCATTTAGCCACATTCCTAGCTGCCGTAGTATGCGGGCCCTGTGTCCGTCAATGAGCAAGACAAACCGGCAACCGTTTGCTTTACCGCCAGGAACCGCCACTTGTTCAACATGGCGTCCACGACCACGAACACTTCAAAGGACTCGATGTTGTCGTTACCTGAAATACGACAGTGGCGAATCTCTCTCTCTCGCTCTCTCTCTCTCTCTCTCTCTCTCTCTCTCTCTCTCTCTCTCTCTCTCTCTCTCTCTCTCTCTCTCTCTCTCTCTCTCCCTCTCTCTCTCTCTTTCTTTCTCTCTCTTTTTCTCTCTCTCTTTCTTTCTTTTCTCTCTCTCAAACACTCACACACACACACACACACACACACACACACACACACATGCACACACACACACACACACACACACACACACACACACACACACACACACACACACATGCGCGCGCGCGCATGCATGCACACATACACGCTCATACCGATCCTGAAGCAGTTGATAAGCCGGCCTTTTCTTCATTCTTATCTTTCCCATTTTACTACCAGCTTTTAACCTCGCATTTTTTAAACGAGTGACGGACGCGTTTTCACATTCTTCTTTTGGGAGCATGACTGTGTGAACACTTAAAAGAATGGAGAGAGTAGGGCTGATTGTTTCTAAACCTGGGTTGTTAGAGGAATGTAAAGATTCTCTAACCTTTCCGATTGGAGAAGAACCCTATATTATGGACAATGCAAAATTTGAAGGTAACTTGTAGAACAGTTAACAACGAATCTAACCGGCCTCTTCTACGCACTGAGGTTCGAATTTGAGAGGCGTCCAAATTGGGTTTTCCTTTCGACTTTGGGATATGCCTCCCAGCTCCATGTCTTGAAACACGACTAAGCAATCCATAGTCGAAATGACATAGCACTGTATTTAGAAGAAATTTAACTTCAAGATCAAAAACAGCCACACAAAAATAGCTTTAAAAATATATTGTGTGGACGATAAGTTCAGAACTAAGGACGCAGTTGCCTTTCTATTGTTTTCCGTCATGGACTCGCTGCCCCCACAATAAGTTATTCTGAGTGTAGAGACCAGTGTAATAAGAAACGTTGAGTCCAAAGAAAATGAATTGAAAGACGTTCTTTCTTTTCAGTCATTATTGTTACTTGAACTATTTTTATTCTTTTTCCCCGTGTTCATTAACAGCTCTTTGTAAGCATGGAGTCGGTTAATCACAGTTTTAACTATCTAAATAGCTCTGAACGAATTTGCTAATAGCTAGGTCGGTCACCGTTGGGTTGACACACCCGTTTTAACTCTATATGGTTATTCAAAAGGCTGAGGTCTCTGAACGTATCACCCATTTCCGATAGAACAGAACAAAGTGAGTGGAAATTTCCCGAAAAATTGAAATTGAAGAATCGTTACGGATTCGAATAATGGTCAGCTGCTTCGCCGTCCTTCATGATACTACTGATCTATGAGTGCGCTCACCCAAGTCTTGTGATACGGTGATGGCGACATCTAAAAAAGAAATACGACTGTAAAAAAAGAGATAGACAAGACCGTCCTTTAAAAAAAAAAATATTTATGGTGACTGAAGTAGGTTTTGGGTTATGGTTTTGAAATGCAGTTCTTGCACAATGAAATTGGGAAATCTATTTCAGACGTTTGTATTGTACATAGGCAGCTGGATGCTGTCCCGCAAACAAAAGTGTTATCATTTTGACCAAACATTTTTCCAGTGCTAATTCATTGAACCTGAGATCCGCGGGTTCCATTTTATTTCAACATGCTCCTTGTTTATTGCTGACTTTTTGAATGACATTTTTTGTATACCCATCAACACACAGTGAACATCCAATAATGGACTGGTTTGTTTTGCCCCTGAGTGTCAACATTTTGAGCTTGTGTCTGACAAAGACACTAACTTTTACATAGACACTAACTTTAAAAAGGATGCTTCTGAATTAATATGGTATCTTTCTATTTTTGGGTGTACGCAAGACGAACAGAGAGATGGAGAGAGAAAGTGATTGATATATATATATATATATATATATATATATATATATATATATATATATATATATATATATATATATATAGAAAGAGAGAGAGAGAAGAGGGGCACTTTTTGACATAGATATCTGTTTGAAAAGAGAGCTTTGCACTTTAAACTTTATTTATGTTATTGTTTCGTCATGTTTGTTGGCAGTTGTTTTCTGAACTGGCTGCTTTCTGGCGTCAGTTAAATCCCTTTTTTTTCTTTTTGTTTAAGGTGCTTTTTTATGTTTCGTTATTTAATCACCAGTTAACACTTTTTAAAAGTTTTTAACGCCGACCAATGGGCACGTAGTGTTAGGTCTGCGGGGTTTGGGGGTCGGGCTCCAACGTAGCCCAGTATTTTGTTGGATCACACACGGGCAGAGCTCGAAGGATCGCTTTTGTTTGATTGTCGTGCGTGGAGCGCCCTCTGGCGGCAAACACAGCGGAAACAAAACACGAGGCAGAGATTAGAGCAAGAATTTAGAGGGCGTGGAACTTGCTGAGAGTCTAACAAATTACTCCGTCCGAGGAGTCAGGAAAGCCTCGTCCTTCAACATTTAGAATGTGCTCGGGATCGACATGAATAATCACACTTTGTGTAGGCGGTCGTTCGCGAGTCGACACGAGGCGCCACTTTTTTATGTTTGAGTCCTGGGTGAGGTAGAGTCGAGAGAGGGGGAAAGGAAGGGTGGCGGGGGGGATCTAGAAATGAGGACAGGGAGTAGTTGTAGTGGAAGATTGGGGGGGGGGGGGGCGGCGTAAAGGTGCTTTGAGTTTGAGTGAGGTAACGAAAGTACGCCCTATTGGAGCGGTGTGGCATTAGACCCGCAATTACCTAATCGGTTCCCTTCTCTGTGGGTAAGATACTGTATCCTTAATAAAGGTGTTCAACCCTATTTACCGTCGGTCACCCAGCTGCCCGTTGGCCACCAGTAATGATATGTTTTATAATATTACGGTCAGTATTAGTGATATTTTGTGTATCATATAACACTCTCGTGACCTCCGAATGATCGTACTATGCAATATAATAATATGTGGCAAATATCTCCACAGGTATAAGTAAAAGTAGTATTTTTCTTGTCCTTTTTTTCATAATTGGATTTGTTTACTTGTTTGAAGCGTGAAGACGAACTGTGTAAAATATCTAACAAAACTAGAAAGAAATACGGGGTGGAGAACGACTATATGGGTGTTTCCTTGATCTGCTGAGGACACCTGGCGACTGAAAGAAGTTTCAAAAGTGGACGCTTGTATGATTACCTCTTCCAGATGGTTGCCATCAACAGAATACTGGACTTTTTTCAAACCAACAATCATTCCCAATGCTGCACTTTGGGAGAAAGGTAATATACCAGCATGCTCTCTTGCACAAACGCTTCCTGTCTTTTAGCTAGTAACCTATGCGTTCCTATATATAGAATAGCTTTACGTATTGCTGTTCGGCTGTGGTTCGCGTGATCCGCATTCAAATCCCCAAAGAGGAACTCTTTATCTTGGCTAGCTTGGCGAGTAGTAGATCTAAAGGGTCCTCAACCTCATGATAAGGTCATATCAAAACTTTTGATTTGGACAGCCCCTCTTAAAAAGCCTATTTTATGTTTATTGTATAGTATGCAGCCCACCCAGTTCTAAAACAGCATCTAGACAAAGGTAGCTGGTGCCTCTAGGAATAAATTACTGGTGGTCACGTATACAGTGCGGTTTTGAGAAGGACTTGATTTTTGTTCTGGGGTTTTTTTATGTTTCCCCCGTCCCCGTGCCTAATGATGGACCACATTCCATCTTCGAAGTAATTCTTAGGGTGTTTAGATAGAGATGATGTTGTAAGGATCGCATGCCCTTTTCAACACAGCTACGTTTTCTCGGAAGAGGACCTCTGATTTACCCTCAGTCTCCGATAAAGCAGAGTCAAAGAGAAGAAAAGGCTGTGAAAGCTTCTCAAACAACTCAGTTTCAAGTATGTCCTTTTTTTCCGAGTGCTTTTTTTGGCGGGGGGTGGAGGGTGTGGGGGCTGTTTGTTGTTTATGGGGGGAGGGGGAGGCTTATGTTTGTTTAGGGTTTTTGATCGTTTGTTGTTGTTTTTTTGTTCGTGTGTTTGTTTGTCTGTTTCTCTGTTTGTTTCATGCACCTGCTTTTACTACCTCAACTGCGCGATTTGGATAATTTGAATAGCGGCTTCGAAACTACCTATCACGGTCAATATGGACTGAGAGAGGTACAATGTCCCAGCAAGGAGACTAAGATACTCGATAAAAATCCTCCCCACTCGGGAACTCACGTCTTCTGTGCGCGGCAGCGAAGACAAATGTGTCCGAGTACAGTGACAAACAAACAAAAGCAAACAAAGACAAAATTTCTTACTTTTCTTGCAGACGCCGACAGGCTCCTTCTGTAGCGTGTGAACGCGTGAGATGTAGGCCGTGGTGGAGCTGGGCACACAGTACAGGCCCCTGTCACACTTGCCCCTGTAGGCGTAGTCGCCCCCACAAGACTCGCCCTCCACTTTGGCGCATGCTGGACAACACCCACACACACCTGGACACACGGAATGGGTATAAAAAGGGGGGGGGGGGGCTAGTAAATAGTATTGTAAACGTAGACAGTGTACGAAATACATCGTTTTGTTTTGTTTTGTTTTGTTTTGTTTGTTTGTTTGTTGCTATTTTTGTCCATATTGGTTGGAAAAAGTGTTTTCCATGAAAATCTGTCTTTTGGCTAATAAAGTAACAGAGCGACTTCTTCTTTCACGGTAAATGTTGGGAGACAATCGACTTGAAAACTTGTTAGATTAGCTAGGTCCAAAACAAAGTATACTGTCTTGTGTGTGGTCATAATAGTACGTAAATGTAAGTAGTGGTTGTTTTTTATTTGTGTCCGAGTTTTTGCCAAAACACAAAGATTATAACCAAGAAAATATACTTCATTAGATTTCATGAGCAATTCTACCCTCGTGTTATCTGTTGGCATTGGTGGAAACGCCAACAACGTCGTTATTAGATATTATTTTCTCATTAATATCATTGAATAATAAACTAGAAAACAGAAAGATGTCCTTAATTATTACTCAGTCTTGAACAGTATGTAACAAAATCGATCATGCCTCAGAAACTATCAGTTCATAATTATCGGAGGATGAGTCTACGCAAAGAAGTCGCAGCTTCACGTCTTGGTCAGAACTAGTTTTCTTTGGGTAAGTACCGCCCTCGGTTTATGATTCTCTAATTCATAAACATTGTGTACATTGGCCAATTCTGTGACACTTTGTCAGCCTTTGGTTGTTAACTGACACCATGAAGATGAAGTTATTTTGTGCGTTTGACAGAACCCTAAAAAACAATAAGGTGAAGCATATTCCCTGCTCCCACAGTTGCACAGAGGCTTTTAAAATCCCTGTTGTAGCCATATTTTCCTTACGATCCAACTAAACACACACACACACACACACACACACACACACACACACACACACACACACACACACACACACACACAGAGAGAGAGAGAGAGAGAGAGAGAGAGAGAGAGAGGGGGGGGGAGCGAGAGAGAGAGAGAGAGAGAGAGAGAGAGAGAGAGAGAGAAAGAGAGAGAGAGAGAGAGAGAGAGTTTACATTGAAACCGAAACACTGGGCGCAATGGTAAAAGTAACAAAAAAAGACCCCAAAAAAACAAAGAAAAGGAAGAGGGCTCTCGTGGCCTAGAGGTTAAAGTGTTGGCCTCTCATTCAAAGGTCCCGGGTTCGATTCCGGGTAGCGACCGAAACATTTTCTTCTCAAAATTTGTACCTTTCACCTCATTTCCTGCTCTCTAGCAATGTTCTGCCGTCTGCTTTCGTCTCCTCTTTCTGCCCCCACCCCCTCACCTCCTTTGCCCCTTCTTCTGGGCTCCTGATTCTTTCTGCAGCCTCTCTACTGCTACTCCTTCGCTTCTTCTTACTGCTGTCTTTCGGCCACACCCCAGATCTTCTGGTAGGAAAGATCTACACCTAGACTTCTCGGACAAGGGCTAAAAATCTCGGAGGGCCCGTGTACAAGTTGCGCACGTTAAAGATCCCTTGGTGGTCTAAAATCGATAAGAGTAGGCTTCGGCCGCCACCTGGGCAAAATTCAAAATTTCCTACCAACTGAAAATATTAGGTGTGTCCCGCGCGCCCATATGACATTATGCAGTTGCGAGCGCCGTAAAACACTTTACCAAACAACAAAAGAAAAGGAAAGAAGGAACAGCCAATTGGAACAGATATCACATATATTATGTGTCCTTTTCCCACCGTAATAAGGAACGCAAGCCTTAATGGTGTACAGTTTTCCTATTTGTTAACAACTCTTTCCTTGAAAATTGTCTCTTATCTCTGTGTCTTGCAAGAGAATCAATTACCCGGCCTTCCTTCAAAATGCCGTTTGTCGGGTCTATGCGGGGTTAAATTTCAGCAACTATAACAACAACAGCAAAACTAACAATAACAACAACAACAACAATGGGAACAGCAAGAGCAACAACAACAACAACAACAACAACAATGGGAACAGCAAGAGCAACAACAACAACAACAACAACATTAGCAACAATAACAACAGCAACAACAGCTACAACAACAATAGCAACGATAACAGAATCGAGTTTTCCCACCTGTGGTTATTCCTCCTTTGCATTGCAGCTTAGAAGCACGTCTGGGCGAGCAGTGGATTTTGTTGCAAGGTGGACACTTAAAGCCTAGCACCAGATCACAGAGCAACGTCAATAGCATCAGAGTACAAACAATGGCGGAGTACGAACTCATGTTGTTCCACATAAAACCTTGAATTAGCATGGCGGCTGCTGGATATGTTTTCACAAAAGAATCTTATAAAATAATTTAGGATTTCTTTACGATTGTTTTTAACTTACTTGATTATAATAACTAATTCAGTCAGTGTTATCATTTCAACACAATTGCACATCACGTTTGCTAACATCAATATTTTTACAATTCTGATTTCAATGTTTAGAAGGAAACGGTCATAGCACGTATAATCTTCCAAGAGGGCATGGTGGTGTCTCCAATAGTTAACATATCAACTCGCGTCGAAATCCTGGCAACAATACTTTTCACAGCGCGCCAACTGTCCATAGGCGCAACATCCTGCCAATCTGGCAACGATATCACAATCGATTTCTTGTCCGGACGGCCGGAAGTTTGTAAGACGCTGTTCCTGCGATAATCACTGGAGTGGGCTGACCCGCAGACTCCTAAATGCTGTTGTATTTAGGCGCAATCTGGTCTCAAGACGCGGGGACAGGCCCCTGATAGCCTGTGCACGTTGGAAGAGTGGCGACTCAGCGGTGAGCTCGCGTGACATGGAGATGTCGTCTGCGAATCTGTTGTGACTTCCGGCGTTCTCCTGGGAGCCAGTGATGAAAGACGGGAACTGCTAGAGGTCTGAGGAGAGGAAGACATAAAAGCAAGCGGCCTGAGTTCTTGGTGAAGAAAGGATTTCGTGTTTATGAGTGCGTGAATATGTTTGTATGTGCGTGTGTGCTTACGTGTTTGTGTAAACATCAAAATGCATGTGTTGTAGGGGGTGGGATGTTTGGCTTTGTTTTGTGGGGGGGGGGTGTTTGTTTGTTTGTTTGTGTTAGGGTGGGGGTCATCGGTGTGTGTATGCGTGTGTGTGTGTGTGTGAGAGAGAGAGAGAGAGAGAGAGAGAGAGAGAGAGAGAGAGAGAGAGAGAGAGAGAGAGAGATGAAATAAGTGAGATAGAGAGACATGAAATAAGTGAGAGAGAGGAGGGAGGGAGAGAACGAATTCAAAGTTAAAGAAAAAGAGAGAGTGTGTGATAGTTTGTGCATGCTTGCTTGTATTCGCGTGTGTGTTCGCGAGAAAGAGGTCAAAGCCTCTGGCACGGTACGCGAAACATCGGTGTCTTTACCAGAAAAGAAAAAGTGCTCCAACAACAAGAGAGGCACCTTTGCAACAGTATAATGGGTGGTAAGGCAACCCATGATGATTCTGTTAAATAGACACCCTTGAAAAAGAGATAATGTCTGTTTACAAAATAAATTATGTTGAAAATCCATCCTTGTAACTGCATAACTCTTTTCAACAGAAAAGAGCCATTTTTGTACAGTAAAATATGGGCCCTTTCGTCTGGACAGTTATATAAAACATACAATTTTTGTTGCGCAAAACTCTTTTTCAAATGCTAAAGAGGCTCCTAAAGAGTCAAAACAAACCATTTTGATTCAAACAGAAATCGTCAAATTAGAACTGCAAGACGTTGGGTATAACTACCCCGACGCTTGTTTGGACATAGATCATGTGTTTATTATCAGATTATGTTGGAAATAGTTGGAGGGGGGGGGGTTTTAATACAATGACAGACGTGGTGACCTGATCAACAAGTGCCTGGACTTGGCAATGCCAAAAGTGTTGAGATCACCAAAACAACAATGAAACAAGACAACTGTATAATTCTGCGAACAGTAACGACGTTTTGCCCCTGAAACGAGCCAGCTGTATGATTTCATGAAGAGAAACAATTCCTTTTGCTCTTGGACTTGAGATTAGGGGCTTAGTAGGCTTAAGTTCGATCACAAGAGGTTGGGGAATATTATAAAGCTTTCACCTAGCTGAATACCCGCTCAAAGGATAAAAACTGGTGTCTGCTATGTTCATTCTCTTCGTTTTGCATGCAAAAGATCTTAGTTTATTTCTTGCATGGGAAAGATAGTTTGATCAAACATCACTGACTTTTTTCCTTTTTTTAATTTTTTTTTTTTTTTTTTTTTTTTTTTTGGGGGGGGGCAGGGATGCAGTATTTCAACTCAGCCATGGATGATCCTGATTGGGACCGAACCAGTCAGCCTCATAAATCACTTAAACTGGTCCAATGAGGGCGACAGGAGGGGCATGCACAATTATTTCCAGAGAACAAAGTGTGACCTGACTTGAAAACTCTTGCCCGTCAATCTCATGGTGATAGTAAAGCGTCGGAAAGCACATTTGGATCCATCAACATTGAACTTCACACGTTTGAAGACGTCTTAGACTTAGGTAAAGCAAAGAGAATGCAAAAGAAAAATGGTAGTATAATATTATTGTTCTAGGGGGGTGTATATATATTGTGTGGTTGGGTTTTTTGTGGGGGGGGGGGGGGTTTACATTCCTATAGACACACTTTACATCTTTAGGGAACGTGCTTCACCAATCATGACGAACCCGAACTGAGAGAGATAGAACATCCCAGCAGGAAGAAATATCCCCAACCGGGAATCGAACTCGGGTCTCCTGCGTGCGAAAGCGAAGTCCCTAACCGCCCCCCTACAGACGTCGCCAAAAATATTTTGAGGACTATGAAAATAAAAAACCTCTGAACAGGACGTGCATATGACTCCACTTTGACCAGGGCTAATTGTTCCCACCGGAACCAAATTTTGAAAGGGCACAGTCAATGGCCATGAAAATAAGCTAATCATGGAAGGATACACAAAACGGATCCTTCTGGTTAGAAGTACTGTCACTGTCACCATTCCCGGCACATCAAAAAACCTGACATATTTTACTATTGTTATCATTACCTTTGGCGTTATCAGCATTATCATCATCATCGACATCATCATCATTGTACGCAGCTAAAAGTCCCATAAAAAGGCTGAGACTGAGTATATTATCATCATCATTATTATAATTAATATTAGCTTCATAATTGTTGAAAGAGGCGGTGAGAGAGAGAGAGGGAGATATATATATATATATATATATATATAGAGAGAGAGAGAAAGAGAAAGAGAGAGAGAGGGAGAGAGAGAGAGGGAGAGAGAGAGAGAGAGAGAGAGAGAGAGACAGACAGACAGACAGACAGACAGACAGACAGACAGACAGACAGACAGACAGACAGACAGAAAAATTGAGAGAGAGAGAGAGAGATGGAGGGAGAGAGAGAGAGAGAGAGAGAGAGAGAGAGAAAGAGAGAGAGAAAGAGAAAGAGAGAGAGAGAGAGAGAGAGAGAGAGAGAGAGAGAGAGAGAGAGAGAGAGAGAGAGAGAGAGAGAGAGAGAGAGAGAGAGAGAGAGAATGAAGAAGAGGGCGAAAGGCTTACAGAAAAAGACATGGGATACAAATAGAATTTCTAGATTGTTAATGTGTCGCCATGTTGTATTTATGTTTCAATCGTGTTTGCTTGCGCCTAACGCCCTACACAGAGACACAATTAGGTCATTTCAGAGGCCAGCAATGTGGGGTTTCGCGGATCTTTTTTGCATAACCAGACCACCAGTAAACAAATCCACACGAACTGTAAAAAGATACCCCTCTCACACAAAAGAGTTTCTAGAGCATAAAATGACATTTTTACAAAATGTTCTAACTAATGTAAGTGTTTTTACGCCCCCATTGACACGAATTAGATCATCTAGGAAGCGGGCTTCCCATGCTGCCTGTCAAGACCACCAGAGGATGAGAGGGATACAACATATCAACAGAAAGACAGAGATACTCGATAAAAAAGCTCCTCCTTCTTCTAAAAAAATGTCAGGTATACTAATCATCCGAAGCTGTAGGTGGTTTATTTTACATGTTTTACCAGAGCATTATGTCGTTTCTATTTCTGTTCCCATTTTCTTAATATCATAAAGGCTGAGTTTATGGCGCCTTGAGTTAAGATTAATTTGAAGTCCCTTCTCGAAATGGATGGCGAGATTGGAGTGTGGCGACATGGGGGGCTGGTTTTGTGTTTATGAACTTTCAGTCATTTTCAATGGTACAACCTGCCTCCCCCCCCCCCCAAAAAAAAAACACCCATTTTCTTCGATGTATCGTCTCTGACCTCCTTTCTTTCCTCACGCTTCTTTGTTGTTCCTTCTGACCAGCTTTCGAAATATCTAGCTGGAGGTTAGAAGAGAAATAACTCTTTAAAGCTGCTCTTTTTTTAAGTTAGTCGTCTAGTTCAAAGCAGGATAGCACTTCAAAGATGTCACTACATTGTTTGACTTCGTTGGGTTCAATTTCGACTTTTACATCTTTTTTTCTTTACAGAAAAACAAGAGAGTGGGAGAGAAAGAGAGGTGGGGGGGGGGGCAAACAGACAAGCAGACAGACAGACAGACAGACAGGTGAAGAAAGTAAAGGTTAGCGAGTTCATTTTTTGTAATGCATGTAATATGCCATTAAAATCCACAGGTACAATTCTGCTGAAACCTTAAAGTACGCATCTTCATAATTTGTAACAAGCTATCGACCCCGAAGTACCTTTGCATAGATAGTAAAATGACATTTTTCTGTAACTTCAAAGTAATGACGATGAACGGTGACTTCGTCCTCGATAAGTGGCAGGTTACTTCCCTTCGCCGTCACCACATATTCTGTTGTTCTTTCATCCAAAGAAATAATTCTCAATCTTCTGCTTCGACTACAAAAACACAGAGAGCTTGGATGACAAAACTAATTTATAAGGAACCTGCTCCTGTCGTTTAGAATTAGCTGCGTGTTCTAACTGCGATAGCAAGTCCTGAAGCCTGATTTCTCCTGGCACGTTATTTTGTAGCAGCCCACTTTAATTTTTCTCCTGTGCTGTCTGTTCTCCTTTTTCGCACCCGTGTAAGGTGGTGCAGCTGCAAGCAGACTACATACAAGACTGTTTCGTTTTGCCACTTTGTGGATTTACTTTTGGGTTGTACTTTTTAAAAAAATTTAATGGATGTTGCAAAAAGTAAAGAAAATTACGCATCCGCGTACTTCACAAAACCGCTTGTTTTTATAGCGTGGTATCAATCAAGGGGACTTTATTTTTTCCGGGTTCTACTCTTTCGAAAAGTAGAAATTAATTCATGGGAATGCAAATAGTTAGGCTGGTGATATTATGTTTAATCTAATCTTTATAATTTAGAGATGGTCGCTTCGTAAGAAAAGTATGAGAAATACTTGTTTTCTGTTTCATACTAGCTATTGACTTTCTCCTAGAACGTTTAGATGGTGGATTTACAAAGTCAACGCAATCAATCTTTCTTCCTGCCCAGATGATGATGAATGATGAATAGAATGGATACAATTGTTCCGGAAGGGCTCCAGTGATAGTTATGGATAGTTGCGGATCGACCCAGAGCAATTCTTTAGGAGGGTAGCGTCCATGTCCTACTACTTGGGTTCCGAAAGAGAGAGAGAGAGAGGGGGGGGTGAATGTCAGAATATAGAAACATGTCATCTAGGATTTCAGTTTCTCTTCCTCTCCTTTTGCCCACTCCCCCCCCCCCCCTTTCCTCCTCTGTTTCCATGTGTACATTAATATACGTTTATATTAAGACAGACAGACAGACAGACAGACAGACAGACAGACAGACAGACAGACAGACAGACAGACAGACAGACAGACAGACAGACAGACAGACAGACAGACAGATCGTTCGATCGATCGATTTATCATTAGATAGATAGATAGATAGATAG